AACGCCGCTGAGCTATCATCAGAATCATCAATGCTCGAGTACAAGCTTAAAAAACCTTGCAAAAAATGAAACCCAGCAGAACGGGCAGAATTATGAACAACACGGCGACTGACGGACAAAAGAAGAGAATCGCCCCAAAAACGGCGTGAAGAATAGGAGAGCAGGGCTTTTCGGACGCAATAAATTCTGGAGTGGTCAACGCGAGGGGAAGAGAAGGAGAAGGAGAGGAAGCAGCAGAAGCCATTGCATCAATTTCTCAACGGAAGGCGAGGAGAGGGAGGATGGGGAGGCGGATGGATACTGACGAATATCTGTCACTTCCACCCCTTACCCCAATACCCAACCACCACCCCCTTCTTGGCCCGTCAAGCTCGGCTAGTCAGCCCCCTTTCGTGCGCTTTCAATTAGTGACTTCCACCAGTTTTTTTTTGGAGACTTGTCAGAGGGGAGAAGTTTTTGGCTTTAAAGGGGCCAACAAGGAGTCATTTGCTATGCGTTTTTCGACATCGAACCAAGCCTATCTGGTAGAATTTTTCCGTGATTCCAAATATGCTTACCAATTTTGCGGAATCGTCATGTCCGAAAGTTACGCATGATTTAAGTGCGTAAAACCATGGAAACTTGTTCATTTTGAGCGTTTCTCGGTCTTAGGTCGTTGCTAACCTTCGAAATATCGAGGCTCGGCAAGTAGTAACCATATTCGGAATCATTCAGCGCAAGATAGGCTTGGTCCCAACTGAAATCCCGACCACGCTAAACAACGTAGTCTAAATCTAAATTTCTAGCAAAAATATTTCCCTATACCTCTGCAAGCCGGGCCGAAAAGCGTCAGAATTGATTGCTGGCATGTGGTGAGGGCTTTATACGTATTGGACCCTTGCAGGCCGGGGGGGGGCGAAGGACAATTTCCGGAAGGCCAAGGTGCCGCCATCAACGGCCTTTGAGCCGTGAACAACAGGTGCCAACGACGGGACAAGAGGGGGGCTCAGGCTAATTGTTCGAGGGGGCCAAGGTGGGCAGGGGAGAAGCCGCTTCAACGGCCAGCCACGTAGTCAAACGGGCGCTTTAAAGCCAGAAAACCCGACCCTAGTGGTTTCGGTAGGGAAGCATATGGAAAATAAGGTAATTACTTGCCCCCTTAAAATAATGTACTCTAAAAACTAAAAATGAGTAAGACGTTAATAACCTCTGAAGCTGGAGGTGAAATGGTGGTTTTGATATTCTCCTAGATCTTTGGCGATTTGAAGAGGTCAATTAATATTTTTACAAATTGTTCTAACGCCGTTTCATAGAGCGTCAAAAATATAGCAAGTGTTTAAATTCTCAGCCCGAAATAACGTAATTTAACAAAGTTACAGCCAAAACATGCAAAATCGGGAATATTGTTAAACCCTAAGTTAATTTTATAAAATTTAATAGATATGTTTTTGCAATTTCCGGCCAGGGATCATAGCTTTATCCTAGGGCTACCTACAGGCAGTCTTAAAACATTTTTTCGGGGCTTCCGGCTGAGGGAGGGGGTAAGGTAAAGCCCAGATCAAATTGTAGCTGTTCAGGCAAAAATCCAGTAAATCGCAAAATTCTTTAAGACGCGCCCTGATCTCGAAACAAAACGGCCGAGCAGCAAGTTGCAAAATGTAGTAAAAGTGGGCTTATCTCTAGAAATTTTGGGGCCCTGAAGGGTTGGGAGTTGAGCAGCAGAGGAGGGAATGGAAGGGAATGGGGTGCCATCCATTGTCCTTTAGTCCATTGTTCTTCAGCCACAGCTAGTCGTCGATAGTAGTGTATCGGACGGGGCGGCCAGTAGAAGAAGAAGGAGAAGCACTGGACCGCTTCTTCTTCTTCTTCTTCTTCTTCTCCGGCTGCTGGCTGGGCAGGGAGTACCCGTTGGAGCGGCGTCTAATCCTACTTGATTGTCTCGGGGGTGGGAGTCACCTTTTCCGGCGATGGCAATGTTCACTTTGCAAAAAAATCATGGATTAATGGTGGATTTTGTAGAGGCTTGTGAGATTTGCAGTAAAAAATTTCTGAAAGGGTATAGTACCCGCGAATGCGTCAAACAATTACAATGCTTAAGCTTAAGCGTACGTGCAAACATTAATACGTTTCCACCCCTTTACGCAAACAGACATACAGACAGTTCCGAACGAAAGCAAGAGCTTCATCTCGGCTTTGGGGCGAATCCCCTAGAATGCCAGCCGCCGGTTTGATCGACTTAAAAGCGGCCATAGGCCAGGGGGGCGGCTATAAAATGAATTGGATCCCCTTCACCCGGCAGACATTCCGACCTTTTTTTGATCATCCGAATAGGAGTGCTTGCGTTTTTCTGCTGAAATTCGACCAGATGCTCCGGCGAGTTGGGGGTGGTCGCACCCGGTAAATATTTTGCAAGGTGTACAAGCATTAATACCAAATTGAAAAAATTATGAAAAGCGAAAATTGGGTCATTTTAGGCGATTTCTCATCAATTTTTGACCAATAAGGCGACATTTTCGAGACTCATTATAATTTTCGGTTTTCCAATTTTTATATCTAAAAACTGTGAAAGATGATATAAAAATGCTAGATATTTCGTGATAGGGCTGTTCAGGATTACAGGGAAATGTGGTTTCACGCTGCTAAAAATCCCACCCCTCGCTGAAAGTTCAGTAGTACCATAGGCAGTGGGGTGAAAGGTACGCAGCGCATTCTAAGACCAGAATAAAACAAGATAACCAAAGAAGGTGGGGACAATCTATCGGCCTCCCAACCAAAACCCTTCAAAAATTGACGAAACCGCTATGGAAAAGTCGTAGGCCACCGACGCCACCCATCGAGAAACAGAGACAGAGACAAAATCGAGGCCATCGAGCCAGCCACGGGGGTCCACAGCTGGCCGATGGCCGAGTGGTGCCCATTTCAGGGTGGGCAGCAGCGGGAGGAGGAGGGATTCGGGCCCATTTCGGGCGGAAGCCGGGGATTAGAGGGCCACCACGGCCTGGGACCACCCGTTCCGCGACCTTCCACCTTCCGCCTGGGGCCGGAGTCGTTCGGTAAAATAAAATTTGGCGCGTTCCGCTTTTGCGTCGTACACTACCAGACCATGCTGAATTAAGGAGAAAGAGAGTAGAAAATTAATATATACCTGGAAGAAACCACAAATTATGGGCGAAAAACGACAGTTGAAGCTATTCCATGGACAACGAACACGTAAAACGCCTTGGGTTTCGAGGCTGAAGTTTAATTTACAATCTTAAGCTGTTTTCATATGCTAAAAATGTTTAGAAAGTTTTTTATAACAATTTGAAGCCCCGTTTTTCGCGTGAACGCTCTTACCCTGCGCGACCTTTTTAAAATACGCCTCATCGAAGGCTTTTTTGGGGCGCAAGAAAACTTGGAAAAAAGAAGAAAGTGCCCAAAACCTACAAAAAATACAGGGTGGCTGATAAGTATCCGGAAAAACTTTGTCATATGATGGCGTAACAAAAAAAACCATCGAGTTTTATATTTTGTTATCCTAGCCATTGTGTATGTTCTTGTATATACTTTGATATTTCATGACTAAAATTGAATTGGTTTAGGACAGTAAATTATCAGGGCGTCAAGAAGCAGTCTTTAGCCGTCATTTCCTTAAGCTTACTAGGGAAGTGCAAATAAAAAATCTGGAAAATCGCTTAGCAAAAATATGGGTCGGATAGAGTCGACGACGGGGATTCCGAAACTGCAATCAGAATTTGCAAAACGCTTAATACAAAAAAGTTATGAGCATTTTAAGTTTTCAGCACTTTTCTCGCCCCGCCTTATGAGCCCCTCCCAAAGACGGGTGTCCGCATGTCGAGTGGTGTAGTGGCTAACTAGCCTGCCCCTGGGGCGGAGGGTCTTTGGTTCGGCTCCCCGGTCATGCCAAATTTTTTGCTTTTTGGTCAAAGTCAAGAACTTTAGACTTTTTCAAAGTTTCAAAGTCGAAAAGCCCGTCCTCTTAATTTTTAAATTCATGAAACCGATTACGAAGTGGTGGCGGGAGTGCAAGTACTGCCCTACCCGTACGCCCGTACGGGAGTACGGGTAGGGTACTAAAAAAAATTCACCTCTGTTTTTTCGTAAGGTAAGCCTACACGCAGTTAATAGTAAAGAAAATGTTCAAAAATTTAAATTTCGGACTTTGAAACTTTGAAAAAGTCTAAAGTTCTTGACTTTGACCAAAAAGCAAAAAAATTGGCATGACCGGGTAGCCGAACCAAAGACCCTCCGCCCCAGGGGCAGGCTAGTTAGCCACTACACCACTCGACATGCGGACACCCGTCTTTGGGAGGGGCTCATAAGGCGGGGCGAGAAAAGTGCTGAAAACTTAAAATGCTCATAACTTTTTTGTATTAAGCGTTTTGCAAATTCTGATTGCAGTTTCGGAATCCCCGTCGTCGACTCTATCAGACCCGGATTTTTGCTAAGCGGTTTTCCAGATTTTTTATTTGCACTTCCCTAGTTAGGTGCGCCGCACCTGGGGTAGTCAATGTTTAGACGAGAAAATTTTCTGGGTTAAGGTGGGTTTAGCCGTCAACTGCCCGCGGCGCACAGCCATTTTAGGATAGCCACAAATTGAAGCATAAATCAAAGCGGATATATGTCACTTTAAAAATTTGTTACAGCGACGAATATATAGCTCCTACCTGTTATAAAATAATTGGTTTTGATTACCTTCGTGCTTTCCTTTTTACACCAGGACCTTATACTTTTTCCGGATACTTATCAGCCACCCTGTAAATATTACGAGGTGCGAAATATGGCTCGTAGTGCTGCGATACTCGATCACACCTGTCCATTTATCACAATTGGCCCTATTTTCATCCACTTGCCATCTATCCGAAAGCGAAACCGGGTGCATGTGCCAACACATGCTCGTTTCTCTCTGTCTTTCTCTCTTCCTCCATCCACCTACCCAGTTGTAATCTTCCATATGACCCGGGGGTGCAGCACTCTCTCCAGCCGATTTTTCCAACCCTCTACGCTCTAGAGATGCCGCGATGATACTACGCGGCGTTTTCATCACCTTTTTGCTGTTATTAGCGGCAAGTGGTCGCCCTTCGAATGATACGTTGGATTTAGAAGCTGTCGCGGGTAAGCCTAAGCCTAAGCCTAAGCCTAAGCCTAAGCCTAAGCCTAAGCCTAAGCCTAAGCCTAAGCCTAAGCCTAAGCTAAGCATACGCCTAATCCTAAGTCTACGTCTAAGCCCCAGCCAAGCTAAGCCTAAACCTAAGCCTCAGCCACGAAATCTGGCTCAATGATAACCTAATTAGATCCGAAGGCGAAAGACGCAGAACGCAACCTCCAACGCACACTCTCCGTCGTCGAGCATCGAAGCGCTTTGGGCCGCATTGTGCTACTCGTATGCCAAAAAGCTTGCAAGCCGCTGCGCGCTATTGTAAGTCCAAAAATTCACTTGTAAAACCGACCCAGGTGCCCGAGCTGGTGCGCGACTACAACGAGCTGAAGGAGTACAGCAGTGATGACCTGATCTCGTACCACTATCATTATCTACGCGGGTCGTTGCCGTTTTACAACACGAGTCGCGTCAATAAACGCCCCGCGGTGTTGTACATCTCGGCGGGCAGCGTGGAAGAGTACGAGGGGGATCCGAGTGATCGGGTAAGGGAGAAAGGGATGCATATCATAATGCCGGGCCATGGTCCTTCGGAAAAATTCCGTTCCTTTGCACAGCAAAATAAAATATTAAAAGTCACAATTTGGAAAATCCTGTAATTCGGCATTATGAAAATTCGGTGCTTTGAAATTCGGCATTATGTCGTATTTTTCATAGAAAATTGAACAAGGTCTATAATACTATGAAAAAGGCCTATTTCTAGACGACATTCCTCGAATGGCTGCGCAGCGTTGACAAAAGCGATGTCCTGATCCCGAAATCACATCAGGAATTAGATGCGTATCTGACCGAAGCCGAGCAATGCCAGAACGCCTTTCTCCTCATTATTCACGACCCAAAGTGCGCAATTTGAGACTGTAAGCAACAACGGACCAATTCCAGCAAATGCCCCTATGATTTCTGGCGAAACGTGGCTCGTGTCGTCTACGCTGGTACCAAGATACCAACCATACTGTTGGAACGGCCAATCGAGAATCAGATTGCTGGTAACGATATCGTCTCGGGATCCTATTGCCTTAGTGACGCTTTTCCGCCGGCTCGTCTCGATGCCCCAAGATTGTTTACTGGTTTCCTTGATCCACCATAACCAGTATACCAAGCCTTTTGTGGAGCTGGCGCCCGCGGAGGTACGTTGGTTAATGTGGCAACGTAGGGCTTCAGATACTCGAAAATGTCCGCCGAACACTCGAGTTCTCCACCTGCTTATATGAGCCGGATGGAAAAATATTCACAAAGACTGGCATCCGCTCCTCACTCACCGATCTTCAGATGGAATATTACGCGACCGACTACGACTTGAAAAAGTTGCCACAATTCCAAATCAAATCCACCATTACAGGCTTGAACACAAAACTTCGTACATTGCTGTCGGCCTGGCTGGTGGTATCGCCGTCATTGCGCTGGCCATCTCGATTTTCTGGGGTCTCAACGGGTCGGCCTTTACGAGAGAATAAATTTGTCTTTATTTCCCAAAACATAAATACCCATGATGATCGATCACAAAGCCAGTAGTAATTATCACAGAGAGAACGAGAATGAGTACAGAAAAAAAAGAAGACAAAAAATTATGTGGGCGTGAGTTTTGTGATGACTTCATCCAAGGCAGGAGCTGGTATCCGTAGATCTTGTAGGGCATCTCGAAAGTAACCTAAAAAGAGGGAGAATAAGATAATATTAAGGGCTTATTTTCATTATCGAAATTTCAATGCCTTGTTCATTATATCAAAAAATTAAAATTCACCGCATTGAACTTGCGAAAACTAAATTTGTACAAAATGATATTTCGCTCAAATGATATTTTGACAAACTAATAGAAAGTCAATAACAAGATATCTAGAATTACCGGCATCACAGAATAGTTGCTTCGCGGGTACCGGGGGCAAGGCAGAGACATCACCCAGCGTCTCGATGAAGCTTCGAACGATGACGGCACACAGGTCTCGCATCACCTTCATCAGCAAGTCTTCTTCTATAAACTCCAATAAAATTGCAGGCTAGAAATAAGCTCACCACGCTCCTCAGAGACATCTGTCCACATCGCGAAAGAATGGGTTATGTTGTCGTCAGCGAAAAACACTTCAAACTTGTGGAAGCTTTGAAGCACCTAAAATTAAATTAATCTACAAAATAACATTCCACTAACCTCTTGTGCGATCTTGGTGATATACTCGGAAGGCATCATGGCGTATGAGGGCAGTTCCACGCCTTTGCGTATTCCACTATGCAGCTTTTCCTTCTAAAACGAAAGTGTTGGTCAAGTAACCCTAGCCTACGCGACGGAAATTATGGAAAAGCCGAACCAAGAATACAAAAGCGCTGATAAATCAAAAGTACCACTTCTGCGACACCTCGCTGCACCTCGCCGGACATCGCCGTGGCGACATTTTTGAGCGTAGCATCACAGACACGACTATTCCACGCCCGAACTGCTTTCGCCGAGAATAAACCTGAAAAGACATATGTAGAAAACAGATCATACCATCAATCTCCAATTTTTCAGCCGATATCTTCAGCCGTGACAAGCCCGCGATCAACTGCCCGGCGGCTGAATTTACCTAAACTCAAAGATCCAGTGCACAAATTATGCGTACCTTGATAAGGTCGTCAATCGGCCTCGTCTTGCCCTGGCTGTCCCTGGCGAAATTCCAGTTCTTGGCCTTGTTGATAATCGCGTCGACGGCGGTCTAGAAATATTGAACGTCATTGATGATAGAATTACCGTAACAGGTCTTTGGAGTAATTGCTTGATCGTAGCCGGCTCAAAGAACTTTGGTAATCTAGTTAATGAGTTGTCGAACAGGTGAATCTAAAGCAGAGTCCGAAGCAATTCGATAATTACAATGTCATGGCAGGCTGAGGAGAATGCCGCAATCCTTGTGCGATGGGATCCGGTAACCTAAAAAATATCAATTACAGATATGTAGATCAATACCAAATCCATTGCGTCAACTTTAGATTGCACATGCTTGATTAGAGCCGACGTTAACGGATCCACAGCGCTGTCCAAAAACGTATCTCTAATGGAAGGCTATAACGACAACGCGGTAAGGTTACCTCATATACAACAACAGCTCATTTGCCATTTCCCGCATGTCTTCGGTAAACGTATCCGGAAGAGCATTCGTAACAGCGGGTACGCTCTGAAAAAGGATTATTTTCAGGAGAAAGTCCCACCTTTTCCAAATCATAAATATAAGCCAGTGGATCGTTTTCGGCATGCAGTATTTCCGTGACGACAGCCTTGAACCCATATTCTGCCAAGGCTTTCTTCATCGCGGCCTTCACTAGCAAAATGCACTCGTCCGAATCCAAAAATTCACGCTTCGCGCCGGACTTCTCTCTGAAATATTGTTGCCTACACTGTTTATGAAAAATTACCCGAAGAAGATGTACATTTGATTCTCGATCTCGTGCTTCACGCATTCCAAGAAACGGCTGGCCGAGGTGCGCGCAAAATTGGCGTTGGCGAAACGGTTTGAGACACCCTTCGAGAAGATGGCGACAAACTCTATAAAAACAATTTAAAAGCGCACATTTACTCAATTACCTTTCTTTCGATCCAAGCTAGCATATGTGCTATGGATCTCTGCAATCTTTGCCGTATCGCCCTGCTGAAGAGCTAAGAAGAAGGCGGTCGATTGCCACGCGAGGAAGGCATCCTTCTGATCTTCCAAATCCTTGACGTTCATAGCGGCCGTGGGAACGAGCTAAATAAGTGTAAATAGGAGTTGTGAGAGTTGACAGAACGCTAAAGATGGTAAAAAAAACCCCTAGAAACGAACATTTCTGATCACATCTATGCTGCTTTGCAGTTCCTGCAACGTGCCGAGCATCGTAGCTTGATCCTCCTTTGAGACTTCTTTCAGCGATTCCCAGGCTTTCTCGTACTGCCGACCAGCCTAATTCAGAGCATAGTTGAACGCAAAGAAACGGGGCTTACCGAAATGCACTTTAGTAATGTTGTAGCACGCGTCTTGGCGGCTTCGTATTGCAGGATCGTTTGGTTCACTGTCAGAGAGTTTTCGCTCATGCGCAGCGTCTAGCATAAGGTTAGAATTAAAGTGGAATTAGTACTTTTATATGATCTTCGAGCGATCCGAGCACGCGATGTACAGCAGTATCGACGTCGCCAAGATTCGCCAACCTGAGGAAGTTAGAATTTCAAGTTCCTGGTAAAAAATACGCATGTTCCTGCTCCTCACACTCGCGGCAAATTTTTGCCAGCTCCGTTCGAGAGACGTCGATATTCTTCTCTGAAGCGAGCAGGCGAGCGCCCACTTGCGATTTCAGCTCCTAAAAAGATCCATCATCAAGAAAAAGTGACGAGCCTCAATCGATTGGCCATCCATCGACCTCAGCCAATCGATGAGGTCGTTCATTCCTGCCGCAGAGCAGAGAGGTGCTTCAGGCTCGTGCCGTCGCTCTAAATAAAGCGTTTATTCATTGGAAATCGACTGAAATGTAACAAAAAAAAGAAAACAATTTCCTAGAGATCTATTGATACTATGAAACGATTCAACCATCGTAATGACAAATCAACCACAATCATAAAAATTACAACGATGCACGCACGTTGGGGGCCACCGCGTGTTTGAAGGGCTTTTGTCCGCCTTGTGCCAAAAACTTTGTGAGATCGGTGAGCTTCGGCTTGAAACGCGGGTTCTGCTTCACGAAATCCTGGACGATCTTCAAATCCGTATCATTGGTGCCGATAGCCGTCCTCCACTCCGGGTACAGCGTCTTCTGGAGTCGAACTAGCAGCGCACATTCTCGCAGCTCTCCGTGCCCGGCAAAATAGTTCAGCAGCGGAGGCAGATTGTTGTTCAAAGCCATGTAGAACACGAGTGTTCCAAAATGGCGCGTGGAATAGAAGACGTCGAATTTGTTGGCAGCAATCGTTCGATCGAAAACGACCTTCGTCGTCTCCACAAATTTCGGATCGTCGGCCTCATAATACAGACAGGCCCAATCCATCACAAATTCGTGCTCGTCCCTGGCCAAGGCACTGTCCAGCCATGGATCGGAAAAGACAGCTGGATCAACGACGGGTCGATTCTGCTTGTTGTAATAGGTCCTATTCATCCTGTCGTGTTCTTCAGGGGTCGCTGTGCGCAGTTTTCCGTCGATTTCTCTAACCACCACGGTTCGATTCTGGTCGGTGGCGTCGAAAGAGATATCGGTGAAGACGAATCTTGACGAGTCAAAGCCCGCAATCTCTTCGTCGTGCGCCAGCAATTCGGTCTTGATCTCACGAGGCTCCTTCAGCGGAACAAACTGTAGAAATAGCTGGGCCTCATCCTTCATCCGCTCAATGGTGTTCTCGAGCCGCTCATCGGTCATCAAAGCAAAATGCGAGCGACGTTGTTGATTTGAGATCCTTCGAGATCGGAAGACTTTATTCTCCAAGTCGACACCGGTAATCTTCTAAATTAAACGTAAAGTGAGAGCAAAATAAAATCGGAACGCTTTCCCTGTAAAAAACGCACCTGTAACAGTTCATGAACCTGAGGGGTTGTGAAGAGACGCTCAGCATCCACTTCCTCAGCCACCTTGGCGTCCAAGTTCGAAAGCATCGGGTTTATCCAAGCGGAGGCTTGCCGAAGGCTCGTTTGAGGAGACGACACACTTTGGGCGACGGCTCGCAGCCGTTGAAGACGTAGTAAAGTATGCCGAAACATGTTGTTGAGCTGAAAAAATGTAACTTTTGATCAGGATATGACAAAGACACAATTTGAGAAGAAACAGAGACGGCTTGGCACCAATATTTGTAAGATAGGGGTTTTAAAAGCTTTACATGTACATTTTCGGTAGAAATTTACCAAAATTTTGCGTGAAAGTGCGCAAAAAAACACGACAGCACGATAAAAGGCTCAAAGTTTCATTTTCAAAAGGTTTAGATATTTGTACTATAGCTCGAGTTTTCTTACTACTATACTTTCCTTTTTCGCTTTTTCTTTTACTGATTTTTTTGGATAGTACATTGGCACGTAATTGCGCGCCCGTTCGGAATGGTGCGAAACGTTCGGAATTCTGCTTTGAAACAGCAAAAACTTTTAAAAGCCTTGAATCCCCATGGAATTTTGCAAAATTTTGCAAAAGCGCTGGATTCTTTCCGTAGCGCTTCTCCAGGCGTTGGGCAGCGGCGGAAGCCCAAAAGCACCCTGCCTTTCGGACACGAGGGGAAAACATGACACCCCGCAGTGCGCTTTAGCCTGCCGCGCCCCCCATTGCTCATCGCCAAAAAGGGCTTGCGAAAGCGGCGCATACTCGCTTGTTTACACCGCGCCCTCAGCCGTTTTCTGTACGTCTTTTTTGCGTTTCTGCGTCAACCTTCGATGCCTTTTGTCTTCATATTTCCAAGCTAAACCATTTTTCAGACCCATGCGAAGATGGCCGGACTAGCGCAAATTACGAATAACAATGATAGGAACCCTGATGTAAGTGCTGATTT